AAGCCTTCGTCAGGTATGCCACGTAACGCTGTAAATTTCAGTATTTTTTACATTCTGGAGTTGCTGTCTTTATTATATTGTATCATAAACTGTGTTAAAATCATATAAACCATTTTACAGTAAAGTAGACTACTCTAAATAAATGAGGAAATGTCCAACACGTTAAGTATAAAAATTTTACAGCGTTCTAGGTAGAATTAGATATTTCGGTTGAAAGCAGGATTACAGATGTTTTAATTGCCGCATTAACAATCAACGTTTGAATTTCAATCGTCAATTCGAATTTCTTTGAATTACGAATTGAAATTTAATCGTTAATTGAAATTTTTTCCAATCAAGAAATAAGATTTGCTCGGTAATTTAAATTTTTTCTAATTAATAATTAAGATTTAATTATTAATTGAAATGTTTTCCAATTAAGAACTAAAATTTAATCATTGATTAGAATTTCTTCGAAACAAGAATCAAAGTACAATCGTTAATTGAATTTCTTTTCAATTTCGAATCCCTGTTCCTACTTTTTCGAACTTCCTGTTCTCACTTTCCTGATTAAGAATGTACAGGGTGGTCCACGCAACACCGTTATAACTTCCAAGATATGCGTTGCACGAAGGAATGTTACATACAAAAGCTACATGGTTTAAAAGGGTACACTATGTAGTACGTTAATTCTTTTACGGTTACAGGCGTTCCCAAGATTTGAAGGTTAACTCTGTTTTTTTAAACAGAATACTATATTTTTTATAGCATTTGCTGTAGTTCTGAACGAAGATGTACACAGATTACTAATGCGTATAAGGTGCGTGCGTACTGGAGGATAGCTGTACTCAGGCGTAACTCTCCTGACTAACTTCTACACAAGCCTGCACTACGAGAATTGTATGTACAATGGACTCATTGTCAGATTTTTGTAGTTCGTATTTTGTTGTATACCAGGGTTGCATGTAATTTTTTCAATTATATTAAATCTGTAATTCAATTGAACAAAAATAAGCAATTAACGTTCCTGTCTCAATTCTTAAATGAATTTTATGTAATTACAAATTCTAATTGTTAATTGGCGAATTTATAATTAGTAATTGAAGTACAATTTGTAATTGAAACTTTCAATTGAAGATATAATTTTCATTACACTTTTCTTGAACTAACAATTATCATACAATCGTTTATTGAGATTTCTTCTTGTTGAAAACTTAAATGCGATTTCTAATTTTCCAGCTAAGAATTGAAAATTAAAATTTAGTTGAACTGTCTTGAAGTAATGGTAAAAATTTAAGGGGTAGACTCCGATAGCGACGCGATAAGGCAGAATGTCAACGTTACCCACTAAATTGGCCTAAAATATGAATTTACGGAGCTACACTTTTTGTACTTTTGTAAGAATATTACTGAGTCATTAGGCATCTTTCTGCAAACACGAAAGTTAAATCTGACATGCTCTGATTTTGATTTAATCAGAATATGCTGATATTTAGTAATGTGAGCTTTGTAAAATGGATGAAAAATTATAATTACAATGGTTTTATTTAACTATTTTTAGGGTAGTTAACTCCCCCCCCCACTTAAGGTAGTTATCACCTAAATGAACACTATTCGAGATAATTACGAAACTTTCAGCAAAATTAATTAAGCACCTGATAAATACTTTTGCGAAATTTCCGTACATTATAGCACATAGTTTCTGAGTTATGCTTAATCAAAGTTGACTATTTTTCGATATGTTTAGCATAAGCTTAACTCGAAACATATAGAAATTCATTATTTTTGAGTATTAATATTTTTAATTCTAGCTGGTCAATTCTTTCCAGATTTTTATATATTACGTTATATAATAATCGAAAAGTAGTCCAATTTGATTAAGCATAATTCAAAAACTATGTGGTAAAATGCAATGATATTTTGCAAAAGTATGTATCAGATGCTTAATTAATTTTGTTGAAAGTTTCGGGCTTATCTCGAATAATGTTCATTTAGGTGATAACTACCTTAAACCCGTCTCTTCCAGTTTAACAATACACCTGTATAATAAGTAGACGTAGCGGATGCTTACGGACATTCCTATTTTTTATAAATAAAAGTACGGAATTGAAATGAATGTAAACATTCCTTTTTTCCTTTAAACACTATAAATTATATTTTATGTCGAATATTTTATCCTTATGTTTTACTGCATACTGTATTACATTAAATTATTCAAAATTCCCATAAACGAATAAACAACCGCAGTCTAATGACAATTAAGTTACTCTCGCGAAAGCTTTGCGAAGAAACACATTAAATGCCATTTTGCATCTTCGATTTTATATTTGCAGTTCTTACCGTGAAAGTGTAATATTTGTCGGAGGTGCGTAACAAGTTCCGCAGGAAGTCCAAGTGTCTGAACGCCGGTTGCCAGGGCATGTAATCGGCTTCGTGCGTTAAATAAAGGGTCACGTTCAACGCGACCGTGTAGTTCAAACTGTCAGCACGAGCTAAGTTCAACGCGTCGTCGATCATCTGCGCACGATTCAGCACGTGTATTTTTGTATTATTCCCCTTGTTCAGCTCTCCCATCAACAGTTCCCAATTTTCTACATCATAGTTCACACGATAGTAACCTGAGACAGAAAACAAAATTTCGTTAATTATATCTGCTATTTTTTACCCTTCAAAAATAACGATTCTTTCTATGAAGTAAATTCTTGATTTATCTTATGCATGGATCAGTGAGAATAGTAAAAAGAAACGCGAATAGATTCGTTATCCAATATTAATCTAGAACTTCTGTTAAGTCGCTGCAGCTCAATTAAATAAGATAAATATAACACCTTCCAACCTATAATTTTTTTGCAATGTCCACTACGTGATTCTTATATAATTTCTCATGTCAAAGACGAAACCGAAATGCTCTATCACGTACTGTTTTTGAAAAATAGTGGTTTTTGTAAATTACATGATTTTCGGGAAAGTCAGGGTAATGATAAGAGAAAGCTGAAAGAATTCATTTTTTAATCGAGAGATAGAAGAGACGTTCCATAATACTGGATGAGTGACGACTTCGAGTAATTCGTAAGGTATTTGTTATACGATAAAAATGTTTAAACAAATGTTGTATGGCTTCTAGGGAACATGCAGCGC